CCGGAGATCGATAGCCCGTGCCAAACACCAAAATATCTACATCATACTCCTTGCCACCGACGACGAGACCCTTTGGCGTGGCTTTGGTGATGCCTTCGGGGTCGGTCTGAACCAACTCGACATTGGGCTTATTGAATATGGTGAGATATTCGTCATGGAAGCACGGTCTCTTGCACCAAGACGGGTACCAAGCTTTGAGTTTCTCGGCTGTCTCCGCGTCTTTCACCGTCTCCTCGACACGTTTCCTGATTCTCTCGGCTCGTGGTGCATCCGTTACCAGCGCTGTAGTGATGTGTTGTGGGATGTCAGCCATCGCCACCGGCTCATGGGGCCCACCGATGAGAAGCTTATAGGTATCAATCGTTGTCCAGGCATCATTCACCAAGTCTTCCCCTGGCTTTTCGCCGTTGAGATGGCCAATAAAGTTACTATTGCGGGCCCTCCACCACCCGGGCTTGGCTGCAATCTTATCCCAATCTTCCTGTTTAAACTCTCTCTGGCCGCGGTAATCCACGCCAGCAGGCGTTCGTTGGAAAACATAGAGTTTCTCGGCCCACTTAGAAAGCTCCGTCGCACACTGCACACCAGTGGCTCCCGTGCCGATAAACCCAACCTTCTTGCCTTTGAGTCCAGACAACGTCCAGTCTGTGGGTGAGCCACCACTGATGTCGTACCTCCAGCGGCCGGTATGGATCGACTCGCCTTCGAATGTCTCAAAGCCATCGATCTTTGGTGCTTTGGGGTGATTGAGCACACCGTTGGCGAGGACGACAAACTGGGCTGTGACATTGAGAGAAACCGGATCCTCCTTTGGGCCCCTATTTTGCTTGATTGTAACAACCCATCTGCGCTTCTCGTCGTCCCAGGCAAAAGATTCCATATAGGAACGGAAAACCCCTTTATCTGAGAGCTTGAACTGCTCGGCGATTCGCTCCGCATGGAGTCTGATATCTGGGCCATACGAATAACGATGGGTGGGCTTGTATCCTGTCTCTTCAAGGAACGGCAAGTAGATGGAGCTCTCGGTGTCACACATCAAGCCAGGGTACCTGTTCCAATACCATGTTCCTCCAAACCCTCCTGCCGTGTCAACAAGGCGAATGTCTTCAGGCTTGAAACCGGCCTTGATGAAGTACACGGCGAACTGAAGAGAACAAAAGCCGCCACCAAGTAGGAGGAACTTGATATCATCTCCATCCTTGAGATTGGGCTCCTTGGCATTAAGAGCGTCATGATCAGCCCAGGGATCTTCAACCAAATCGTGGAGGCGTGATGACGAGCTGAGTTCTAGATCGACATACTGAGAGCCGGCATCAGGTCGGATGCGCTTGAGCTTCTCCTCCTCGTACTTTTGGTTGATGAAAGCAAGGTCAGGACCGGATCCACTGTTAGAACCCATGGTTTCTATTGATTTACAAGCAGTTGATGAGGAATTGGACGGTATACTTTTGAATGATGGAGAGATTAAGACAACTGGTACTCACAGAAACTGCGGGGTCACTTTATATATGCTGTTGGCCAACATCAAGATGCAGGACTGGCTGGGTCCATTGCCTTAGCTGTTGGCCACACGGGCTTGCATATGCGCCGGACGCAGCTGCATTCCTTCTCTCAATAGTTTCGTTATCGGGTTAGTATTCGTAAGCTTCTGTTGTGTATGTGCATGGCCCCCTTGCAGTCAATACCTACCCATCGATATCCGGCATGTCGTGCGAGATTTTATCAAACGACAGCCAAAGGTAAACTCAAGGTGAGCGGGGTACTTCTATACTGCGTTACATACAGCCTAATAGAGAATGGGAACCTCAAACAGCTTCAAGCCCGGTTCGCTTTCGCTATTCAGGGGCATTCGGTTTCGTACACGAGCTCTGTATGGCCTCGCTTTGGGTCACGGTAGAGGCTCCACAGTGTTGAGCGTCACCAGGAGTTAATTTACTGCAAGGGAGCCACGGAGAAAGGAATTGGCAGATCCAACCCTTTCCAGGTTCTCATTGGAGGAGCTACCAGTCGAACGGCATTCCGAACGGCACTCCAGCTGCAAGGCTGTTGTCCTACCCGAAGAGTGCGAGAGACCCAACCGGGAGAAGTGGTGTGAAGTTTTCGTATCAGCTAGGTGGGTGGGTGTCATCATGTATGTATGCAGTAATATTCGACGTGCATAATATAATAATACTTGGAACAGATTCGGCACCGAAATGCCATCCAGGAACAAAAGGAGCGTGGTGTTGAATTGGGATGGCTGCATACCTTATTAATTAGCACCTGCCTATAGAACTCGAGGCGCTCCTCCCCGCATCTCCGGGCGGCCACAGCCGGTGCTAACATGGAAGGCGCGAACAGGGTGCGCTACGGGTCCCAAAAGCCAGGCGCTGCCGCCTGTAATTTTAAGTTGGTGCCTGCCCGGGCCATCTGACATCAGAATGCCACCAAAGCGCTCCTCCAATCAGCCCCTCCGGCGATCTTCGCAAGGAGTCACGTCACCACCATCACAAGAGCCCTCCTTCCACACCGACAAGGCCAAGAAGCTGATGAGCCTAAGGCGCCTTTCACACACGATGATCAACCTTAGCGGCCTGCGCCAGTGTGCGCGTCTGACAATCTCTGCCCCAGCTGCACTTTGCCCCCTGTCGTGGCCTCCCTAAGTTCCAGCCACTCAGCTCCTCGTGCCTCTCACATACGCCGCTCTTACTCCCAAGCCCAGCCAGCTGACCGTAGAGTCTTGCCTCGTCCTTCAAGGCTGCTGCTTCCTGTCACCTGCCACGTCGTAGTGATTCTTCTTCTGTGTATTGCTTTGCCCAGCTCGTCACGCCCACACGTAGCCAGAAGACGAAATTACAAATATTGAGAGGCCCCTCTGTGCGTAATTCTTTTCAGGATGGCCGCCTCAAAGAACCCAGCCGCAGCTGCCAGCGAAATGCAGAACCGTACGCGCAAAGAGAGAAAATTCGACGAGTTCGAGGCCAATCTGCCCGATCCCAAGTCCCCCAAGTACGAGGTGGCGCGAGCATCTCAAACTGGACTCGGCAGCATCTTCCAGAGGATTGGCGATCTCAATCCATTTGGCAAGGCCGTGACCAAGGATGACACTGTCTGGCTCCTAGATAATACCGCCTTCCGCTCTTCGCGCTTCCAGCCATGGAAGGCTGAATATGTCGCTGCCGTTTTTGAACGCGACCCATACTGCAAGGTGGCTGATGTGGTATCCAACATCGCGCATTCCGTAGGGCTGGCAGATGATGCGGCCGAAAGAGACACAATCGAGGAGCGCATCTTGCCTTTCCTATGGGACATCCGGATGGTCAGAATCGTCAAGCTAGAGAATCAGGGGAAAGTTGTCAAGATGACCCCAACCAACATCAACGGCATCTCCACGGAGGTCTTGAAAGTCCCTAGCGCAGACGCGGGACGTATTGTCAAGACCTCGGCGGTGGTTCCGCAGGGCGCAAATGGCTTGCTTGAAGCCAAGACCGTCTACGCCGGTCCTAAAGGCTGGGGCATCATAAGTGGTGAGTAAGCCCATCAACACAGATGTGAAATCTGTTCCATCTCTGGAGCGGGGCCAAGCTAAACAAACTTGAATAGATATCGATGATACCATCAAAGTGACATTGACTAGCGATCCCACTGGCATCGTTGAAACGACTTTTGCTGATGAGCCCAAGCCGGTGTCCGGGATGCCAGAGTTGTATGAGCAAATCAAGTCGCATCTCCCCGATGACACACCTTGGTTCTACTTGTCTGCCTCTCCGTACAACTTATACCCTTTCCTAAGACAATTCCGCGAGCAGTACTTCCCTCATGGTACTCTCATCTTGAGAGACTTCAGCTGGAAGACCATCTCCGGGTTACTTTCGGCTTTGACTGTGGGCACTGAAGAATACAAGACGGATCGGATGAAAAAGATCAACTCATGGCTGCCTCAGCGCAAGATGGTGGTGATTGGTGATTCAACTCAGTCTGATCCTGAGGCCTACGGCGAGATGTGAGTTCAGAATTAGTGTTTCATCTTTACAAGACAACAAAACCCGCTAACGCAGATCAACCTAGCTACCGTCTATTCCCAGGATGGGTGAAGCTCATTCTCATCCGAAAAGTTGAAGACGTTGCGGCGGTTGGACTTGAGGAGAAGAATGAGCCACAACGATTCGAAGCGGCCTTTGAAGGAATACCCAGAGAGGCATGGCACGTCTTCACTGATCCCAGTGAGTGCCTACAGATTATCAAGGATGCTGTCGCCAAGGAAGCTTGATTGTATACATATGTTATTCATGTTGTGAGTCTTGTTCTGTATCGTGTTTTTCCAAACATGTATGCTTCTTCCTTCTCTTTGCTTGGGGAAACACGGGGTGCATAGAGAAGCGAGCATGTGTAATGGGTTTTCTGCTTGTTCAATGAAATATATATAGATTACGATGTTATCCATAGATACCAGGCTAGGAATGCTGAATTCGACACGATTTTATGATCATCCAGTCCTTACATGAGCAGTGTCTCCGCTCTATTCTTCCCATCCAGGAGCTGCAGGGGTGTTGACATCGATGCTAGCGATGTGAAGAAAACACAATTTATTTCGACCAGCTATACGATGCCTTTGGATGTTGATGAGGACAAGAACGATTTTCATAGGGAAACCAACACAACTAAAGGGCCAGTAATCCTTGGCTTCAGCTTTCCTCCGCCGCCGGTCGGCTAGAATCGGACTACCCATCTCATCTCAGCCCCCGCAAGGATTCCAAAGGTAAGCTGCTATTCGTGATTAAGCGGTCATCTCATCCACACAAAATCAAAACCGAAATCCGAGACGCTTCAATCCACCCACGGCAACACAATTCTCCCAAACCAGGGTCGAGGGTCTGGTTCCGCTCGCAACATGAGATCCAGTCTATCATGCGACGTATGCAGGTACGCTCTTAAGAACGGCTAGCTATTGTTAGCTGGCCAATCGTGTATCCAAGGGGTAAAAGTCCGCGTGCAAGTGACTAATTACAACGACTTATAGACGAGCCAAGGTGAAATGTGTTCATTCTGGTAGTCCTCCCTGTAGAAGGTGCAGCAAGAACAAAATAACAGGTTGCACCTTGATACGGCCACAAGTCCCATCATCCAGCCAGAGGCCCAGAAATTCCCCAGTTGGCTCAGTGGTCAAGAGGTCTTCGCAGCGCAGAGCTCAGATATCACCATCACAGCCTCGATATTCATCTCAGGAACAGGAAGAAACCCAACCACAATCACAGAAGAGAACTTCAAGCTCAGGCGATGGCGTGGAGGATGTCGGCCAACATATTCTCAGTCTTCCCAGATCAGTGATCCTCAAATCGCTCCATCTTTTCTCGAACAAGTTCCCCGAGCTGTCCATTCTTCACACACCAACTATTCTCGCCGACTTAGAGCCGGCCTCTTCTCGATCAGAGGAACTCAATGCGCTGATCGGGGCGGTGCTCGTTGTCACGAGAGCACAGGCTTCCCTGGTGAGTGCACCTTGGGCCAGCCAACTTCTCGAAAGGGAGCAGTACGCCCTGTACTCCAGGTCTCTTCTCTCCGATCTGATCCTGTCCCCCCCTAAACTCCAGGTAGTACAAGCCTTGCTCATCATAACGCTTCATGAGTGGGGATCGAGAGACTTCCACAAGGCGTGGGTCTATTGCGGTAAGTGTCCTACTTGTCCATCGCCTCAGTCCAGCCATGCCAATTTCCACGGGTGTGGGGGTGTGTAGTTGACTAAGAACCGCGCTGGAATATGAAGGCATCGCCATCCGCATCATGCAAGCTCTCCACAGCATGCGTGTCGCCCCGTGCGCTCTTGACCCGTCCGGTGAGCGTGAGAGCCGCAATCCCACCGCCGTTGCCATCGAGACACGCACCTACTGGGGCTGCTTCATCATGGACTGCATGGTCAACTCTGGAACCTACAACCCGCCCATGCTACCCATGCCGGAGATGATCAAGCTCAAAATACCGAGACCCCTCAACGCGGTCGACTTCACATTTGGCCCAGATGCTGGAGACACGAGCTTAAGTGAGCGTCCGCCCTTTGTTCCCGGGTCATCAACACCCACCGTTCAATCAATTTCTAGTGGGACTCTCGATGTGGCTCAAAGTTTCGAAGTTCTCGTTGGTGGGTTCGACATTTGGGCCAAGGTCATGGAGTTTCTGTTTAATGATGGACGCAAAGCCCCGGGCATGTGCGCGCCGCAGAACTGTCCCTGGGTTCCTGGCTCGCCTTGGTCCATAACCTGGGGGCGTTTGTTGGCCTGGAGAGCCGGTCAGCATCGTAATTTACATTATCCCACCACCTCTGTTGCCATGCATATGGCCTTGGGATATGGAGAGACGTTCACATACGTCAACCTATTGTACTACGTCAGGTAAGCCAGAGATCGATAAGCCCTTTGAGACTCATGTCCTTGAAAATTCCTTGAATTGTCCTCGGGATATTACTCACCTACTCTCCCAATAGCGTCTTGCTGCTTCATCGGGAATACGCTCCTTTCCTGCCCACTCCAGAATCTACTCCTGTGGGACCTATCGATCCTCCGAAGCTGGAGGCCACGGCGCCCGAGAACTGGTGGGAAGACAGTGTGGCCCAAATAGTTCAGTCTGCGGAAAATATCGCCAAGCTGCTCCACGAAGCGTCCGAGTGTGGCACACAGCTCATGACACCCTTTGTCGGCTTTTGCGCCTTCTCCGCCGCCTTCATCCTGATCTATGTCCACCACTTCCCGAAAATGAATCTAGGCCGCAGTCCCGACGCGGAGAAATACGAGAAGATTTGTCTTTCCTATCTCGAGGAGTTCCGCGGTGTTTGGAAAATAGCTGATGGATGGGTGAGACCTGACATTTTGGGCCTGTGACTTCAACACCCTTCCCACAAGACGAAGGCTAACTCACGCTTTTCCCCTAGATCAAAACTTTGCACCATGTGTCTCTCCTCTATGCGCGGGCGTCTACCACAAGCACATATCGCGGTAGGACGCGCGCAGACTTTGAGCACTTCCACCAGTCGGTCAACGAATTCCGAGTTGTTGATCGGTCGAAGCAACAGAATCAGGAGATGGACCAGGCAGCAACGGGGCCGGAACAGATAGCCCCCGAGAGCGGCGGCATCTGTACAGACGACCTATCGCCGGATACGAATTTCTTGCTCAGCCAGCTACTTGCGGAGGTGAGCAGCAATATGGAAGAGCAAGGTCCGTGGTCTCAGTGGTGGCCTCTCGGCGAAGTCGAGCTACCATCAGCACCAGCAGACTCTGGGTTTGATCTTGGGGGTTACGGCGGTGACAATTGATTCCGAAATTCCATTACATCCACCCTTGCTTTTTGATCCTCTCCGAGTGGTTGGTTAATGGTCTGTTGATGGGGTTAGAAATGCGACCTCGGGTTTCGGCTTTGAGATTCATATCCGGGAGTCAAATGCGAGGGACAACCGCCGCTTTCTCGAGGATTAGAATCCAGGGCATCCTTTCCATATATATTAATAGAGCTACAGAACATCCCGCGAGTTTATTTCTACTCATACCTATCGTCCATTTCATCTTTGCATGTTCTGGACTTATACCATCTAACAATGACACCTGCTAAAACAGAAGCCCAGCATGCACCCTCAAAAGAGACCAAACAAAGTCTACAAACCCCCGAAAGCCAACTTCTACATCGATCATTGATTCACACCCCAGAAATGGTAGAATCGGCTTCCGGTCTGGAAATCCGCCTGGCTGACGGGCGGACAATCCTCGACGCCTGCGGCGGCGCCGCCGTCTCAGTGCTGGGCCACAACAACCAGCAAGTCCTCGAGGCAATGCTCGCCCAGGCACAAAAGGTCGCCTACGTCCACACGCAGGCATACACCACGCCGGCAGCCGAGGAGCTCGCCAGCCTCCTCGTCGAGAACGGCCGGCCCCATGGGCTGGAGAAGGCGTTCTTCGTCGGGAGCGGGAGCGAGGCCATCGAGTCGGCGGCGAAGCTGGCCAGGCAGTACTTTTACGAAAGGGGCGAGCCGCAGAGGGTTCACCTCGTGTCCAGGCGGCAGGCGTACCACGGGAACAGCATGGCGGCCATGTCGCTGTCGAGCAACGTCGTCCGCAAGCTACCTTACCAGGGGTTCGGCTACCCGAATGTGTCACATGTCACCCCGGCCTATGAATACAGATATAAGCTGGACGGCGAGGACGAGGACGGGTTTACGAGGCGGCTGCTCGGTGAGCTGGACGACGAGTTCCAGAGGCTAGGGCCGGGGAACGTCATTGCCTTTGTTGCAGAACCAGTCATCGGTGCTACGGCGGGCTGCGTGCCCCCGCCGCGAGGGTACCTGGCCGGCGTGAGGTCTCTATGCGACAAGTACGGCATCCTACTCATCCTCGACGAGGTCATGTGCGGGGCGGGCCGGTGCGGGACGTTCTTTGCGTTTGAGCAGGAAGGGGACGTCAGGCCGGACATTGTCACTCTGGCAAAGGGTCTGGGAGGGGGCTACGCTCCCATTGCCGGCATCTTGATACACGAGAAAGTGGTCGATGTGCTCCGAAAGGGAAGTGGCTCATTCGTCAACGGGCACACGTACCAAGCCCACCCCATCGTGTGCGCAACTGCGCTTGCAGTGCAGAAGATCATCAAGCAGGACAGGTTGGTGGAGCGATGTGCCGAGTTGGGACCTGTTCTTGAGGGTATGCTTCGAGAACAACTCCAAGACTGCAAATCAGTAGGCGACATCCGTGGACGGGGCCTCTTCTGGGGCGTAGAGTTTGTTAGAGATAAGGTGACAAAGGAGACCTTTGACCCCGCGATTGGCTTCGGCGTCCAAGTTCAGCAGGAGGCATTTCGCAGAGGAGTGGCCGTATATCCTGGCTCCGGGACCGTGGATGGTATCAAGGGGGATCATGTGTTGCTGGCGCCGCCCTACACAGTGAAGCTGGATGAGCTGAGGCTGATTTGCAACGTCCTGAAGGAGGCAATCAAATCTCAGGAGGAACTCCATCTCCGTAATTTAGCAGACGGCTAAACTCGCTGGCAGACGGTTCGGGTGGGATATGGACATATGGTGCAGTTGCAATATCTGCAGGGGGCGGGAGTGGTGTATGCGCGCCCCCAGTCGCGGAGCTCTCATCGTATTCTATTGACAGGGCATTATCTATATTACCTACATAATTCCTGGTCGGACTTGACTCTGATCCGTGTTAAACATTGTGATCAGTGTGAACTCAATGTGGTTTTGGTTCGCTTCTTCGATCTATTTGTTGTATGGGCAGCTCTGAACAATACCCCTGATACTTTCCATTGAAAAGTCATGGGCGTGTTCGCCAACGCATACTAGCATAGGATCTCTGAAGAAGAATACTTGGGTGTATGATGCTACCCTACCTACGTGAATAGACCCTTTCCGCGGGGGAGGGGAGGGGGAGGGGAGATTTGTGTGATGCACGGCACCAAAAGAGGAAGATGATTCATCTAAGAGAGGAAGAAGAAATGAGAGTAGCTTGCCCGTGCAATACCCATGTCGGCATCAGATGCAAATGTAAATCTTCCCAATACCCATTCTATGCAACTTTGGATCCCGAATACATCCGATATGTAGATCCATGATCAGATGATTGAGGGACCCTGGAAAGAAACGGTCTGTCTGGTTGCTACCGTGAACCGTTTGAAGATATTTTCACCGCCTAGATTTGGAAGCTTTGGGTATCAACAGCACAGGTATCACATCTATTTTCGCCCAACGGCGAGGAGGCATCAGTGCTCTCACACGGCCTCGGGTTTTGGACCCGACCGTGGATTAGAAATTGCCCGTTAGGTAGCACTTCGCATCCGAGTGCGGAGGCTCCCTGCACGAGGGTGGGGGAAAGGGATTGCATGTGAGATGACGAGATCCCTACCCGTGGTTGAAATCCCACCATGTGGCAGGCTCCAGACGATGGAGTGAGCATGGGGAGAAGGGGACCGATCCTGGGGAGCAGCCTGCAGCCTACACTCATTCTGGCATGCCAAACGCCCATCACACGGGCGCGTCGCTCTCAGATGTTATCATGAAACGCTGATTCGCCGTTCTACCCCGCGTCAATGGAAAGACAGGCCTCGGTCGCAGGGAGGAAACGTGAAATTCAAATGTGAAGCTAGCTGCGTCGCATCGTCAAAGGCCGCAGCGCTAACCCGCCAAACCCGCAACAAAGGGGAAAAGGGAAGAGAGCTAGAGAGCAGCCGCATCTCCATCCAGAACTCCGGTGTTGATGATCACCGAACCATTGGGCGATGGCGTGATGCCCGTGCTTTTCCCAGTGATGATGGAGGCCAGGCCTGATGGCGGAGTTTTCGGCGGGAGCTTGGCTGGTGTCTGGTGCCTGGCAGCCTGGTTGGTCATCAACACTGGCAGAACAGGCCCGAACACGCTGACAGCGGCGAGCGAACCGAACCGGTGGAGAGGAGCTCCTCCACTCCGACCACCACCACCACTACAACATCCACGACGCGACCCTAAACTCCTAACTCCTGGGTCAGCGCGTTGAACAGTAATTACGACGTTCGGCAGGCAGGAAAAAGGTGCTCCTAGCCTAACCAAACCATTTCCAGCCCTAGTTCGAAGCCCGGAGCACAATCCCGGACCGGACCCGGAGAGAGCGGCAAAATATGGGCGGCACCGGAGGCTCCGAAATCGGCAAGGTGCTCTCTGCTTTTCTGTTTTGGGTTTAAAGCTGCATAACGATACGACTGCCGTGTCATTTTTATTTGTTGAGGGGCAGCACTAGAGCGCCATTGTCTGGCTCATTATTGGTTGCCGCCATCTTATCTGGCAGTCGGCGCAAACACACCAAGGAGGGGGCCATCTGTGCCTGGGCCCTGGGTCATGGAGGAGCAGATGAGCATCTACACCCTGTTGAGTTTGATGTTGTAGGGGGACAGAGGCCTGCTGTTGGCCAGTTGGGAAGTTCCTAACTGAAGTGGTGGCCTGTCGATAGAATTGAAGCAACCATCCCAAAGTGTGCGAGTGCTACCGTTCTAACTCTGTCCTACTATTTATTCCCACAGCCCTCCCAGGTCTAGCACAAAGTTTCCCCTGATTCTGAACTTTTTACTTTTCTCGAGTCGCAAACACTAGAAAAAAATCTTGACCCATATAACGTAGTCGCGTCTCTTCCATATATTAAATCCTTCTCCCTGACCTCTGCTGCTGCTGCACCCCGGACCGGACTGTCTTGCCTCTTTTTTTCCAACTGCTCCGCTCTACATTTCCTATCCCAAAAGTCGGCTGCTTGCGGCTTATCGATAGTCACCACTCACCCAAGCAGCGCCCATAGCGGAGGACCTGCCTGCCTAATCCTGGTAATTCGTTCCGCAAACGCCCGCCGCCCAGCCTGCCCACTGCTCTTCGTCCGTGCGCCAGGTTGCGTCAAAAAGTGCACCACCTCCCGCGACTTACCCCAGCCTTGCAGCTCGGAAGAAATCTTGGTCGCACACAGCTTCCTCAGCAGCCTTTTTCGGGTCAATAATCACTGCCTGGCGCATTCTCCCCAACGGCACTCTTTCTCGCCATTCATCCCTCCAAACACCCTACCTCTTTGAAAGAGCCCTCCCACACAAGCACCATGTACGCGACTCGAGCTCTCCGACAGGCTGCTGTCCACGCCCAGCGCACCCCTTCCATCCGCTTCCTGGGGCCTCGCACCATTCCCTGTATGTTGACACGGCATCAATTGGCCAATTCCTCTTGAATTTAAAATGCCACGAATACTGACCAAGTCTGCCATTCCACAGCCTCCATCGACCACTCTCCCAAGCCTCACCCAGCCTCCCCCGACGGCAAGCTCCCCGCCTCCTTCGTCTCCAACTCCCCCTCCCGCCACTCCTCCTTCAGCTCCTACCGCGACCACGCCCAGCAGCACGGCCCTCTCCAGAAGAGCATTCGCTACTCTGAGGCCAACGGTGTTGGCGGAACTTCTGGCTCTGCCCTGGGCTCCGTGGCCGCCCCCGCCGGCATGTACTTCGACACCTCCGAGCTCCCCGCCCGCTTCCGCCGGGCGCCCATCGAGCTCGAGGAGATCGAGGCCGTCGAGTCTGGCGGTGCCGCCCTCTTCGGCTAAATCCATCGCCTCCCTCCTATGAATCGGAGAGAGGAGAGTGTCAAGGGGGAGTGGAGTAAAAATGGTCACAATGAGATTTGGGACCGACATCAAGAATGTGATGCCAAGATGGGGGGAGAGTAGTTCGTCATGATTGTCACGAATATCAAAAAAATAGCCGATGATGCCTACACGGGCATGGACGGTTCAGCCAGGAGTGAAGGAGACACGCGCAAATGCC